TGCAAAAATTTCTAAGTGACAAGGCTGATGTATCTTTTAAAAGGTCACTCTGGCAGCAATGTGGCAGATGACCTGTGCTAAAGTAGTGTAAAAGACAATAAAGCAGTAAAACATGCCAATTAAGAACATGGGCTCTGGAGCTAAACTGGTTTTAAATACAGGCTAACACGAACTAGTTGTGTGACCTTGGATAAGCTACTTAACTACTTGGTCTCAATTTCCTCATTTGTAAATAGGACTAAATAGCTCTTACCTCTTAGGATTGTTGTTGAGAATTAAGAGTTAATTAATGAACAACGAGGTCCTACTGTATAGCACAGAGAACTATATGCAATACCTATTGCCTATGTAATAGCCTATAATGAAAAAGAATACAAAAAGGAATACATATAACTGAATCTTTACGCTGTACACCAGAAATTAACACAACGTTGTAAATCAACTATACTTCAATTTAAAAAAAAAGAGCTAAATAATGTAAAGCACTTACAGTAGTTCCTGGCACAAAGTGCTCAATAAATAATATCTATTAATTGCATGAAAGAAAAACTGGAAGGAGGAAGCAGGAAGAATAGTTAGGAAATCAGGAAATAGTCCAGGAAAACAGAGATGAGACCAAAGAGGGGTATGCTTGCTTGGGTGCCTGAGATGATGACAGTACTACCAGACAAACCAGGGGAAAGAAAAGGAAGAGGAAGATTAAGCCACTGTGCATAGCTCCGGACATATTAGGGTTGAGGTTCCTACAGAACGTGGAAGTACACATGTCTACTGGTCATTGGAAAACACAGATAAGAAATTCAGAAGAAAAGTAACAACAAGAGACATGGATTCGAGAGATATTAAAGTGTGGATGTGGTGGCTGAAGCTGCGGTAATGAAAGAGAGTTCTCAGGGAGAAAGAGTAATGCAGGATCCTTAGCACCCAGGGCTCGAGGGTCACAGCAGGATCCACAGGAAGTCCAACATAACTAAGAACTGTCAATAAGACAGAGGACAAAATGGAGCCATGTGACATAATCCCTTCCGTCAAGAAGTTTTCAGTGTCACTAGGGAGACAAGACATGCATATATGAAACGAATTTTCTCATAATTGTTTAGGATTAATAAAAGTAACTCTAAAAACAGAGGTGGCAGACATTAGAATGGCAACGAGAGAAAGGGAAATGAGGCTGAAAAGTGGAAAACCTAGTGGTAATATATAAAAGGGGCACTGGCATAGAGGAGAAAGCTAATTCCAAGATGGAAGAAGTAAAGGGGAAAATGAAAATTATTATTTATTGAATGTTTTCTTTATGCCAGTAACTGTCCTGCAATCTTCCAAGTATTTTTACCTTACTTAATCCTCATAATATTTCTATGAGACAAATATTATCCCCATTTTACAAGAGCAGTTTGAGGCACACCTAAGTTAAGTAATTTGCCCAAAGTTTTGTATCCAGTTTCAGGCATATGGCAATTTAGGACTGGAACCTAGACGGAGGACCAAAGCCCATGATTTCTCCACCACACCTCCACTTATTAAACTAGCAAACGTAGAACATGTCGAAAGAGGAGAAGAAATAAAACCATAAAAACTATACTGGAAGGAAATCAGAATTATTTTCACTTATCTCACTACAGTAGAGCTACGTTTTTGAGAAATGATGAAAGGAAAACAAAACAAAAAAAATTTTAAACATTAAAAATAATCTTTCCATTTTGGAGGACAAGTAGGATTACAGTCTCGTCCCTCAGGTCCCTTCCACACTGTCACCATGGTTAGCATTCTAAATGGCACACCTGACCATGTCACTCCTCCTCTCTTTATAATCTTTCCATAACTCCCTATCACCAACACCATTAAAATTTTTAAAAATCAACAGACCCAAAAGGAGAAAGCTATCTGTAAGTCTAGAAACTCCTTAACCTGGAAGGAATAATAATAAAGAGGGAAAAAATTAACTTCTAAATTAAAGGCTCACTTGTAATTTGTAACCCTACTTTTCACACTTCAAAACTGTAAAATAAATGAAATTTCAAATGCCAGTTAAAGAGCAACATTGACACCTTGTGGTGAACATCGTAAAGTATCAAATGTGACAATGAGTGAAGTGTCTAATTAAATATGTCTGCTTACCTGAAAACTAACCTTAATCCTAGAATTCCCTAGGGTTAAGAAGCAAAAACTCAGTTATCATCACACACATTGAATGTAAATTTGGAAAGAGCTGCTCTTACTTGGCAACACTGAAATTAATCTAAATTCCTAACTATTGGCAAAAGAATAAAACCTCAGGTTTTTGTTTTCCGACAACACACCCATCTGAAGGAGCTATTTAATGCCAGGTTGTTAGGTGCTCCAAAATCCTTGACTCAGTCAAGATTTCCTATTTTTCTCTGACATTCACACATGAAAGGTGGAAGGTATAAAAGCACATACTATGACACGTCAACACAGTGAGAGTTATTATCTAGAATTAATACTCTCAAAAAAGCAGAATCAGGAGATGCACCATCCTGACTCAAAACAGCACTGCGAATTTTGTGGAGTAAGTGATACTAAAGAATCCAGACTCTTGCATTTTCACGTAAAATTATAGATCAAGAAATAACAATTTAATAAACCAAGAAATCATCAGGAAAAGAAAAGGTGTATTTTAAAAAATTACTCCAT